AAACCTGTACATGAAGACAATATTGTAATTTTTATGTAGTAGATATAATTTTGGTTTTCTTTCATTGATAATCTCAGTATTTTTGATCTGAAAGATTGACTTGAGTTCGTATATGGATAAATATTACAATTAGCGTTTGACTATTACTGAATGCAAAATACTTGTTTTAAATTATGTTGTTTTTAATATTAATATTTAAACATCATTAAGATCTTATTTTGTTTTTGAAAATGTATACACCATTCCAAATCAGTTTCATAATCAATTAATAATCTCATTACATAAAATGAAGTCTTAATAATCGGTTTGTTGTACTCATTTTGTTGTTGATTTTGTAGTATATGTTATAGTAGTAAATGAAATATACAGTCAATTTCTTGCATTCATCTATATATATTGTACTGATGAATGCTAAAGTATATACAAGTTGCTATTTTAGGTTCAAGCTGCCTTTTCGAAAATTATTTTCACTCACAGTCTGAAACGTTTTTCTCGAAACTATAAAGTATTTGCGTTATAAGTTTTACTGTGATGTGAGATCTGAGAAGCATTACATAAGATAAAATAGATACATAGAATTTACTTTTGGATTATAATTATTTACAGTGATTGTAAATAATTTGTATGTAAGTATTCAAATTAATTTTTAGAAGATAATAAAAAGTCTTTTCATGGATTAAATCCATATTTAAATTGCTCAAAACATTATGGCATGTACATACAGTTTATCCAACAAAATATAGTACCGAAATAGCATATGAAAAAAAATCTTAAAAAAAAATTCTTGGTGATACTTGCAACAATTTGCTTGCTCAATAGTAATTTAAGCAGATGGCATTTAAATGTTCTTAGTCACGTCTGCTGTTGATTGCATTAATTGATAATTGTATAATGAACATATGATACATCGAGTATATTGAAACTTTCTCAACAACACGAGAATAAATATATTTTATCTAAAGAAAAGCGATTACATTTCTTTTTATGAGGAAAAATTGAAAACAGTATTGCAACCATTAGATGTAAAGTACACATATTCATAATTTACTTAGTTAACTGAGTCCCATTGAACCCTGTACCATCACTTTTTTCAATGTAAATAAAGCGTATATTTGTGTTGTAGTTCAGTTTAAGTTTTTGTTTTTTATATCTTTGAAATAAAATTAATATTATTTTTAATAAATTGAATATCTTTCAAAAAATCTGCTGATGTAGGAATTACAATAACAATATTTGTACATATAATTAATAAACTATAACAAATATGTCAGCACTAGTACGGATAACGATTTCACATAATTGGGGTGCAAAACGATACGACTTATCTGCCTATTTTTATCGATATTGTACAAGTATTTTGAGAAATTAAATAGAAAAATATTAAAATAACTTATGGTGTTTCGAAGAGCATTAATATTTAAGCGTGCGTTTGGAAAATGACATATTCTAGTTCTGTTATCGAGAAAACTTGTATAAATATTGGTCATAAAACTTAATTTATTTGTATTTACTTTTAATTTTGGGTTCAGCATAGAGTGTACTGATTTTAATACGACGTTGTTTATTTTTGTAAACAATTTTTATGTGTAGTGAATATGTGCCATTGGTTTCATGTGTTATCTTAGAAGTTGGAAATCGGTCTCAAGAGTAACCAAACAGATGATCAAGTCGATTATTCGACTTTGTAAGTATTGATTTTTATATTTTTTTTTCTAAATAAAAATAAATTCGAAGCAACGTTAAACTTTATCCAGTAAGTATTTATTCTAACGAAAGAGTAATTTTGTACATTATGGCTTAACTATTTCAACTGGAAATTTACGATTTTTATTTTGATTTAATTATTTATAAAAAATTTAAGCGTTTGAACTAGGTGTGAAAAAACTTAATCTTTTTCACGGTGAAAATTCGTATTATAAATGTGCGCCAAATCAGTATACACGTTGAGTAAACGAGAAATAATTGTACGTAAATATTACTCACCTAATAAGTTTACCCTCCGACATTAGAGAGAGTTTCCTGAGACTTTGGAGTTTGGAGGTAATGTATCAATGATGACGTGATCCACCACCGAGCAAAACACGGTTATTCACGACTAACTACTTCTAATGGGTCGAACACTATATGTGTTTAGAATTGATCGATAAAAATTTTACGTGGAGACACTTCAGGTATGAATGAATTTAAGTATCATTGTTATAAAATCTTAGTGTACACCAATAAAGTTAATACGTTTGCACGTAAGAGAAAGAACAACGGTTTTATAGGTGTATTTAAACGTAACACGGGGCGTTAAACAGGCAATTTAACAACGTGAGTGTGTTTTTTGTTTTATGACAGTTCGGCGGTGGAACACGTCTTATGCTCGACAATGAAAATCTGTTGTAAAGTTTTGGCTCATTCGTATTATTTTCATACCCTGTGTGCGCTGTGCAAATTATCCGAGCAATACGAACATTACCCTGTATTTCATATTGTCTGTAACATAACGCTAGATAACCACCGTGTCACTGTTCGAAGCCGACGTGGTAGTTACTCGATAAACCAGGCGCGTAGCCAGGAAGGGATTGTTACAGGTGTAGTAACAACCATCCCTTCCCCTTTGACCGTGTTAAACTCAAGTATTATAAAGGTAAAGATTCATTGTATAAACTGTGACGAACACATATTCATCATAACGGAATGCGTACATTTTACGATAACAATAATGTAAACAGGGCTTCTCATTACACCGTTTTGTTTAAATAATCCAAAGCTGTAGTTTTGTCACGCATGATTTAAAATATACGTTCAAAAGACGAAATGTACGTTTGAAATTCTAATTAAATATTTAAATATTTGTTCGTACGTTGGTGCAGTGCATATGAATATCTTTTCCACGTGTAATGTAAAAATGTGTTTGTATGATTGCACAACAAAAGTATACCTACGTGTAGTTATTATTTCGTTGTGCACAATTTTATCGATCCGTTTTGAATAACACCCCTTCCTATCCCTTTTTGGAAACGCCTAGCCACGTGGACGCGATAAACGGAAAAAGTAGTATTTAATCGGACGCACGTCGTCTGAAACGTAAAACCTAAACCGTTCGATTACCTACGGTCAGCGGTACGATAGAAAGTTTTATCTGAAAACCGACGAAAACTTTTATCGACAGCCGTCGGCACAAACGTCAGTCGGTATCCCGTCGTGGTGGCAACGCAATGCGGTCACGGTTGGTTGGTTACCAATACATACGGTGTTTTAAAATATTTTACATCCGTCGGGTGCAACGGACTTGTTAGCGTGTAACGGTACTCTTTTTTTCTCTTTTTTGTTTTTTTCTTTGTCTTCTCGTCGTCGTCTCATAACGCGCGCGTTCGTCGCCAACGGCACTGCGTTCGTCTATCGCGATGTCGTCCGGTGAGTGGCTCGTAACGCCATTATCAGCACAAGCCGATCCCGTGATGACATCCTCCGAGGACGAGTACTCGCTGGAACCGAACTTCATCTTCGGGCTGACCACCATGCCGTCCAACAGCTGTCTCTTCCAGACCGACGACAAGGTCATCTACCGCTCATCCGGCGTACTCGCCATACACGACGTCGAGCAGAAGTCCCAGCGGTTCTTGCACATGAACGACCGGCTGAAGGTGATCACGGCAATGGACATCAACCATCACAAGTTAGGCGCAACACATTACGACACAGCTTGTTTTCGTTTCCCTATCGATCGGTGTTCTACGCGCGATGAACGATACCCGTGACAAGTGTAGTGCAGCTTCCTTTGCGTCAAGATGTCAGGAATCACTAATTTAATCGCCAGAACGTGAAATATTTATCCGTACGTAAATATTACCTGACGGTTTGAAGTTGCACGATTTGTACGGGGAAACTCGTGAAATTCGATTTCGTTTTCGAACTAATTTTTGTTTATTTAAGTTTTTAAAATATCCTTCGTCTTCGCGGGTCAACATTTAGGAATCAACTGATATACTTTTCTTGGGATCAAGCACAAAAATAAAAATTCGTTTTCACCCACTACTTCCGATAAGTTTAAAACTAATTTATTATTATTCGAAATGCGCATAGGTTTTTCATAACAGACATTTTGTACGTTCAACATACAACACCACCCTTCAACAGAAGTCGACGTATTACCGACGTAATTGAGAAATTCAGAAGCTACGACCGGTCGCGCATCGGACACCAGTCGGTCATTAATTGTCCGAAATTAAATACGACCAAAAATTGTAATCGGTCGCGCATTGGACACTTGTATCATTACCGAGTTTCGTACGCGCGTGGAATCGGTGATTATCCGGCTGATCGGGTCACTATAATTCTTTCCCTACTCTTTTACTCTCCACACGTGTATTCGGAATTTTCGTTTTTATTTAAAACTTTGACGTATGCCCCACATTTTTGCATATTGTAATTCAGTGTTTGTGCCGACGATCATTTTTCCCTTTTAACTCCTATAAATTGATGGTTTCGACAAGCGCGATAATTTGGTAAACAGTGTTTTTATTAGCTTGCATGATTTAGAAAGACTGATCATCATCGACAGTCGATTATGATATAGAAAATAAATAATAATTTTAATGCCTATGAATTACATTGAACTGGAAAAGATGTGGTTAAGATATGTACACACACCATTATTAAAATTAACTGTCGTTTATAAGTCTAAAAATATTTTTTTTGAACTAAAACACTACTCGATTCACGAAACGTGAGATTCCACGGCTACGGTAAATACATCCACACAACAAATGTATTGACACACATAAGCGTCACATGAAAGGGTCACTTGTACCGTCCCGGAATATAAAAAAAAAAAAAAATTAAAAATGTTGGATCATTATTGGATTCTCTAATAGCGCCTGCGTTAAAAATCGAAAACAATTTTGTACCGACATATAATTTGAAAAAATATTCCTACGTATTTAACTTAAATGATTTAAGCATTATTCGGATACCAACGCCCCCCCCCCCCCCCCCCCCCCCCTAACAAAATTCCTGGAGGCGCCTACGATTACACGCTTAGCATTGTTGAACAAAACGTTATTGTTGCGGGACGTATTGACCATAGTGACCGCAGCGAACCGTCGTGGCCCCGATCGAAGTTTTTCGCGCGTTCCACCGAAGCTGATTCGGGGACGGTAACGAGAGTAACGGTACGCCGCGTGTATTCAGGAATCTGATAGCCGTGGCCGAGAAGGGCAAGAAACCGTCCATCGCGATCTACAACCTGAAGAATCTGAAACACGTGCGGCAATTGACCGTGCATACCGAAATCAATGCCAAAAGTTTCATAAAAATCAAGTTCTCCTACAACGACGTGTTCCTGGCCGCGCTGTCCGACTACCCGGACTACATCATGTACTATTTCGACTGGAACCAGTCGAAAGTCGAGAGCCACATGCAAGTCGTCCTGGCCCCGGACACCGCGGGGCTCGTGCACGAAGTAATTCGAACCAGATAATAACTGCGCGCGTGTTATGCATTGTTATGCGTGGTTGTGCATCGTTATGCGCACATCTTCTACGCGATGTAATATCGTTGCACCGTTGTATCAGATGTCGTTGAACCCGGTCAAGAATTGGCTGTGCTGTTTCGTTGGCACCGGACTTTTCCGTCTGGTGGCCATGGAGGAGCTGGTGTGGAAGCAGTACGGGTTTCACAAGGCGAAAAAGTTCGATTTCACCGCGGCGTGTTGGCTGAACGGAGACAGGTAGAGAGTTAGGGACTAACTTTATTGTTTTTTTTTTCTTTTTTTTTTTTCTTTCGATTAATCAATCGCAGCGAACGACTGCGGTTGCGAAACGAGGAGGCGTGCGAGGTATGTGACATAATCGAGCTTGTCCATTCGGCGTAACAGCGTCTTTAAGGGGGCGGGACAGGCAGAGGGGGAATCGAGCAAGTCTCTCGCAGGCACCGTTCGTCGCGGTCATCACTCGTCATTTCGTCTCCCAGTCCACGCGTTGTTCCGCACCTCGTCGACCGCTGTCGGGCCGCGCCCTCTGTCCGAATTTTAATACTGCGATGGTCGACTACTCGCGATCAATGTTTCGTACGTCCACGAGGCATATCGATCAAAATATTTTATTTCGACCACTGTCCGGAGAGAGCTTTCCACACGGGCTTACGTAGAGTTCACGCACCGTTCCGGAGCCCCAACGCGGTAGACTACAGTTGTAATTCCATCGGTCCTCGGTAAACGCTGTTCAATCGTTGACCGTTTGCAATATTTTTTTTCGCAATATTAATATATATAAATCGGACGATTTTATATTTAATATGTTTTCACATTGGACCGATGTTGTGTAAACAATGCAATATTATTTGTTTCGGTTCCGAAAGTTGTAACGCATTACACATTTAACAGATTAGATCGAAAGCACCTATACATGGTGGTTGCTTAGTCGGGTAACGACACGATAAATTATGTACGATGCTATAAGCAAATATTCAACTTTTGTTTTTGTTATTTTTTTTGATCCCGAGTTCATTGTTTTACTTTAGTTATTTTCCAAATCTTTAATCTAGATGGAATTATGTTAATTTACTTAAGTGTCGATGAGTTATATATAATTTCCCCAAGTTAGTATACAGTTACTGATCAAAATCGTGTCAGTCATTCTCTATTAAGTACTTGCATTGATTTATGCAATAGAACTTAACTCTAATCGAACATTTTTCCAAACATTGCCTATTTTCAAATAAAATAAATCTAATTTTATAAAAACCAACAAACGTTCAAACAGCTGTGATCTTTTTATAATATACGCTGTTTAATGTCGATTATTCTATTTTTATTTTATTTTTAGTCGAGACAATTTTCTAAAAATTGTTGGTTATGAGTCTCACTATGTAATTAAATATAGTGCATTATTTTTTCTTATAATTCTATAACTTAGGAGCACAGAGAATTAAATCATTTGTGGTTTGGTTTAATCTCTTTGGATTTCACAACACACATCAAATTCTATACGTTAATGACAATAAAATATATTTACTAATAATTATCATACTGTATACCAGCGATTTTCAACGATATTTCAAGTGATATTTTCCTAGAGAGGCATAATAGAATTTCAGGGAAGGCAGGAACATTAAAAAAAAAAAAAAACGAAACATGTAAACGTTTTGATTATTTTGATATTTAATCGTGACCTTATTAAGTCTCAGTTGATTGGAACTAAGCAGTGCTAACTAGTACTTTTGTTTTGTTGTGGGTAATACCCGGATACCCACCAACTCGGACACCAGAGTACCAGTATATCCGGGCAATGCCCGATTTTGCGGGCAACCAAAGTTTTCGGTTAGTGGATACCCATTATTCAAAATGTTTGGGTACCCGAAAGTTTTTAATATACGTAAATGGTCAAGCTAAGATCTAGCTGCTAGGAGGAAATTAGTATTATATTATAATTATAAGATTATATGAATGAGAAATATTTCCTCTTTTAATTTAACAAAATTATGGTTTATAAATAAAATGTTTTGTAATTTTTGAGTGCTTTTAGTGATATTGTAGTTTAATAATAAGATTATTCAAGTATAATGTTAAATACCATAATAAAAGCTATTTTAAGTTCTATGTTAAAACCTTGTAGGTAACGGCTATAGTGGCTATAGTCATTACTTTGTAAGTGTATAGCTACGCAGATAATAAGTAGTCATAATCATACGTAGATATAATGCAGTAAGTGCGACAATATTATATTGTTATCAGACTGTTGGTCATCTTTAGTACACATTTTTGAGATAACTGTAGCCTATTGGCAAAGTACTCGTAAATAACGAGTATAACAAACCATAACGAAATTTTGTAAATCTGGTAATACTCGTAAAACCAAAGTACTCGGGTACTCGGGTATCAAGAGCACTAGTGCCAACCCTCTCATTATTTTTGTATTTACTTAAAAATAATAAATTTTGAATTTAATATTTAAGAAAGTGAATATAATTTAAATTTTTTAAATGATAATTTTAAACTGTAATAATATTTTTTTCTAACAAATAAATGTATCAAAAATTTAAAAAAAACTTCGTCGATTTTCATATTATCATATTAATTCAATAATCAATATTAAAAGCATGGTGTGTAATAAAATATATAAATAGGGAACCCCAAAAGGTCAGGTTAGATTAAATACATTAATTTATACTTGTACCGACATTTTAAAATAATAACTACAAAACACTCGCGCATGAAAGAATAATATTGAATCATCCTTGTCATTTTATTGACAGCCAATACACAGCGATGAACCATTAAAATGTACAATAAAATATAAAATAAACTATTTTACGGAAAAATAATAGCAATGAATTTATGAATTGTGATAATGTAGCTCTCGGAATGGTGGGGAGGGGGTAACTCATGTATTTGCTGTAGCCTAGAGTTTAGTAAAGCCGGCACATCGTGCGTGAGTTATCAAACGATAATAGGCGCCTTTGTGAAGATTATCAACGGGCCGCAGCGACTTAACGGTAAGGCCTGGTGCACACTTGCGTTGTTTCAACGCGCGGAACCGCGACGAAGTCACCGTATTCAATGCACACGTAGCATCACATAACGTCGGAACGCAATCAACAATCACTGACCTAACTTTTCATTATTTTTGTTATGTTCACTTGTATTTCACTTACATTCACTTATATCCTTCTCGTCAAATCCGTCACAAAATACTCGGCAAATACATATCCACGTAACTCGTGTTTTCTTCCGGTCATGGAAAGTTTCGACACAGACATTGCGTATCCCAGGATAGTTCACTTTTTCTTGATTTCCCACCATTTACGTGCGGTTAACGGATTAAAACACACGTTAAATATCGTCGCGATAACACTAGCACGCTGCGTGGTACGCGATTAAACCGTGAGTACTTCACTGCGCTGTGGCGGCATCGAAGCGGTTGCCGCGCGTTAAAACAACGCGGGTGCGTACCGAGCCTAACGCAGTGCCGTCCGTGTTGCTCGCGGGATCCGTTTGTCGGGCGCGAAGCCGACAGAATCTAACGGTACTGTTTGCGTTCCGGTCGCGGCCCAACGACGAGCAGCGTGATGGCGGGCACCGCGGACGGCCGGCTGTTCCTGTTCGACAGCGGCGAACTGAAGGCGGTGTACGACGCGATGGCGGTCGCGGAGTTTGACGTGGGCATCGCGGACCCGGACCCATTGGTGACGGCACGGATACCGACCGGGCGGCTCGCGGCCATCCGGCACTGCACGGCCGTCAAGAGAGGTCTGTTGTTCGTCGTGGACGGTGACCAGGTGCACTATTACAAGCGGACGGCCGGTCACAGGTTAGTTAGACCCGACCCCGTACACCACGGCGGTGACCAGTACATCGGTTACAGTTACACGAGAAGCGTCGTGTTCCGGTTACGCGGCCAGGACCACAGGGACGGATCGCGCGCCGGGGCCATAATCGCTCTGTCCGTCAGCCCGAAGAACAAACGTCTGGCGTGCGTCACCGAAGACGCGAGACTCTATTTGGCGCACACCGTCGAAACGTCCGGGTTGACCGACGTAACGTTGTCTTATCTTTTATTCTATCGTCCTTTCGCCGCCCCCCTCGCCGTTTTCACGGTCCTGATTACGCTCGATCACCCACCCCACCGTTTCTCGATCAACATCCCGGACCAGCGACCAGTCCTCCGCCGCCCACGGTTTCCAAGGAGCGACCTGTTTCGTATGGAGCGCTTTCCAATGACGCATGGCAGTGGCACAACTGTTTTGCAACCAGCGTTCAACATACGGTTTTTTAGTTTTAAACCTGTCGAAGTATGTCTTTTAAATCGAATCTTACACCGAAAAATTATATTTCCAATAATAATAGCATACTTTTAACACTTTAATTAGAAATAGACCGAGTTATAGGTCCTAATTCATTACCAAAAATTAAAAAACCTGTACGAGAAATATTTAAATACCGGGAAAGTTAAGGATTCTACGAAATATTTATCAATAGACATGTCAAAAAACAACGATATTAAATCTCGTGAATTTTTCCGTTTAAATTGTCAACAGTTCGATTTTTTATTGTCTCTAGTAGAAAATCTTACAACCTGTCATTCGCCTAATCTCCAGCAGTATAAAGAACCTAATTCTTTTGTATCTCTTGTATAAGAATTTCGTATTCGGATACAGAAAAAAACCAAAAGTAGAAGCCATTGTGTCGAAAATTTACAACGATCGCTGTGAAATGTCGCGGTGACTTGTTCCGTACTACTACTACTACTCATGGACGTAAATAGGTGGGTGCAATGGAATTTTTAATACCCCTGAGTTCAAATGTACCATTCCTGTTTTTTTTCAAATCTATATAATCTATAGTAATTTCAGTTAAATACGATTTAATTTTATTTCGAGCAATTTCAGCACCCCCAATATTTGGAATCTAGTTGCGCCCATGCTGCTACTTTCGGAGCAGTAGCGTCGTCGGTCACAGCGACCGAAAGTTCAGTGGTCGTGGCTTGTCGCGCGTTGCAAATCAGTCTATATGATTTTCGTGCCAGCAGTTCGTAACGATAGGTCGTCCTTTGAAAACCGTCCGCGTTAGCGATTATTTAGTTTTATTGTTATTATTATTATTTTTAACGCGTACCGATAAAAACTGTAACGCGCGCGTTCCTCTTATTTCCGTCCCCCTTTCCCCAAATACACAAACACACACCACTCATCTTATCCAAATGTCCGCTCTGCGACGAAAGAGTGTACGCGCGGTTTTGGTGCTCGGATAGGACTTCGGACGCGGTTTTCGATCACGACAATACAACGTAAGAATATTCAAGCAGCGTCGTTAACAATGAACAGTTTCCAATGGGTAAAATTTATAGGTGATCGAGGGGTTACATTATTAGATACACATTTACAGTACAGCATCCGTTCTGGATAACTTAATATTTTCACAACACTGATTACTGAAGAAATTGTATTGAACTTTTAATGTACCGGTCGATGTTTTCTTGTATTTTAATTTCCGTTGTATCGCTCTCTAAGCGATTGTTAAATGTTCAATACTTATTACTCGTACGTAGACAATTTTTGCATTCGACACACGTAATATATTCAAAATTAATTACGGAGGTACATTTTATTACCAGCGGAAGCGAGACTAATATCCGTAGTACTATTTTTATTTGTATTATAATCTCTATTAGTTTCCATTTTGATGTATACTACAAGTTAAGATTATATTTTTAACAACGCTGTTGTCATCAAGATATTTACCTATTTCCACTTTTTTTCAACTAAATAACATGGTTTAATGCGTTTTCATTAGTATACACCATACATTATATACTTTAAATGATTATGACACAAGGGTTGTTAAAATATCTATATTTTTATTACAAAACCTAAAATTAGTAGCGAATTCTCATTCGTACTTTTTTTATTACGGGTGAACCTCTATTAATGAAAACTCTGCGTATTATTTATAGTAGACGCTTCTGTGGAAATTCACTTGCAATAAATTAGTTGTTGTAACCTCTTAAAGTCATAATACTGGACAATAAATAGTGGTTGTAAAGACTATATAACTGGTCCCAATTTTATAATTCATTCCTCATTAGATTGCACATACAGTTGAAATTGGTCGATAAAATGACTTCAAAAATTTCTAGATTACCTATAGAAAATAAAAATTATCTTCATTATTCTTATATTTAAAAAAAATGGTTTTGAATTGTTTGCCTACAACGTAAACGTTTTAATGTTTAATACAAATAAAAGAAAAATAAATTTAAATTTTGTAAATAACAAATTTTAATAAATTCTTTTTAAACGTGTTTTTAAAAGGATAAACAAAAGCTCACAGATTTTTTTCGACGGGAAAACAGTTATTTATGATTACGGCAATCGAGAAATGTGTACTGGCCCGTAACACGCTTAAGTGATTATGTTAACAATGAAAAATTATTTTAAACATAATAACGAATACCGATTCATCTTTTATTTAATTTTAATTTTTTTGTTGTTTCATCAAACTGCCAATGGGTCTTTTTGAATATCCTCATTGTTGCGTTTCAAATAATACGTATATGAAATGACATTGTAGACTTTTTGTCTGATAAACTTTATTTATATTTTTGTTGAACTTTGATGACATAATTACCGTATTGTTGTACGCGCTTTTCAATGTTGCCATTTATATTAAAACCCGAATAAATTTTGTTGTAATTAATTCAAGGATAGGGACGTATTAAGATTTTGCCACTCAGGGGCAGAAACATTTTGCTGCCCCTCTTCTTTAAAATATAAAACTGAAAACAAGTTTCTTTAACTAGAAAATTGTTTTTCATAAGACTGATTGGTGCTACCCTTCGGTCTGAATGTCTCATCCTCGTACAAATCAAAATTAAAACAATACATATAACTCAATAAAATGCCATGTAAAATAAAAAACTTTTAAATAAATATGAATTGTATACGTTACTAAATAATATAAATAATTTTATAATATTACATTTATTTTTCATATTATTTTATTTATTTACGATTCATAAATAAATTATCAACGAGAATGCGAAGATATCGATTTGTTTTTACTAAAAATCACAGTAAAAATTTTGTCACTCCCTAATATATTTCAACGGGGTATCACCTCCTCTAACCACTCCTTAAATACGGCCTTGTTCAAGGAATATTTAAAATTTTATTATCTGTATTATATATATTTAATATAAGCTTTCTTTAAGATTTTACTTTTCATTCCTGTTAAAAATGATTTTTATTTGTTATACAATGATTTTAATACAAATAGTTATGTAATTCCCCTTGTATAAACAATAGTATGTATAGGGTTGCAAGGCTTCTCGTATAATACGGGAATGTCCCTTTTTTAATTTGATGTCCCTTCGTCCCAATAACTCTCTTTGAGACACCAAAATGTCCCGTTTTTCAAAAAATTACCCATACAATAAAATATCACTTTTTTATATTTGGATAATAAAACGGCATATTTTATCATTTATATATCGTTATTTTTCCATTTTTAATTTTTATAAACAGTGAATTATTATCGCAATGCGTTATTTTCCATTCAAAACCATATTGTATTAACTAAATGAGGTACGACGGCACTGTAGCTGTTGTTGCGACGGTGACCAAAAGTGGGGAATGATAAAACCGTCAATTACAGTTTTATCCATCTGAATATAGTATTTTCGTATATCTGTTGGTACTGTCCGTTCAGTTGAATTTATTACTCGTAATTGTTAGTTATTAGTAGGTTCGTTATTACCACCTATCATTACAATGTCGTTTAAATTTAGATTTATTTAAACTTTATCACAAAATGCAATGGTAATCAGCTTACCCATAACATTACGATTTATAAGCATCAAACTTCAAAATCAGTTGTTTTTTTTTTTTTTTTTTTTTTTTGTGCGAGAGGGTAGACATTATTATTATTTTTTGTTCCCTATTTTGAATTTTAAAATCTGGCAACCCTAAGTATGTATTCACTAATATGTAATGGAACACATATAAATTCATACAACTTGATACATATGTATACATATTTGATAGTTAAAAACAAACGGCTTTGAGTGGAAACATGATACAACACTATTTTATTGTTCCGTTTGATGGCTTTGGAAAGAGTCCAGAAAGGTTTTTTCGACTCGCACGTGATAGGATCGGCTGTCCATTCTACCCGAATGATTTCATCGAATTACGCGCGTTCATCGTATCGAAAACGGAGAACGTATACAAGCTATATACGATTGCTACCATTTTTGAGTATCTTTTGCGATGCGCACGTCGGAGTCTTCAACTTCTTTCAACTTCGGATGACTGAATAATGTCGACGTTCTATCGGATTTAGGTCACCTCGTTCGAATTCGTATCGAGCTCTGTCTTGCTCCCCCTTCTGGATGCCCAAGATCTGCACCGATTTCCCGAGCACCTGCCGCGGTACCGCTCGTCAACGCGTTGACGTTTGCTGTCCAATTTGGTGTTAAACGGACACTGGACGAAACGATCCGTCCGCCGAACACACATTGGGCGTATGATATGGGGGTGGGGTGACCATTGAATTGACTCTCAAAATTAGATTAGGTACCTAATCGAGAACTGAATTGGCTCCCAAGACAGGCAATATTGAATTGGCTCTCAATATAATTTTCAACAAGGGGCTCTGAAAATATAAAAGTTCAAAAAATACGCGACTTTAATTGAAATAACTTCAATTATACATCAGAATAATTTAAAATACAAATAGTCAATCAAAATTTTTAGTAAAAATAAAAATAAAAATGCATACCTAAATAAAAAAAATATTCACTGATCTGCACTGTTTCAATATTATTTAGTATAGGTTGAATTAATACGTCATAGGTCGTGACCATTTAATGCTTTATCGGATTAATGATTAGATAACTTCAAGACATTGTGTCGCTAAAAATGTTACAGTCGCATACTTTTTCAACATTTATATTTTTAATGTATAGTTGATTTTTTTTTTTTCGAACAATTTTGATAACCAGTGGATTTATAAAATAAATGTGCAGTGAGCGATCTCTATGCTAAAATCTTGGAAGCGAATTAAATACGTAAAAATGACAATTACCTAAGTTAGGGAGCCAATTCAATAGCTCCGGGGGCAGGGGGAGGGTACCGGGTGAGGAAGCTCGAACAGACTGTTCTGTTTGTACCGGTTCTCGCGCCGACCCAAAATTGTTCGACCTTTTAAATTTCGGAAACTTTCCGTAGTGGCGGGACTAAGCTCGGGAGTGATTTAATACAAGAATCGCAGTGAACCGGCGCACCACAATCGGCAGCAGCGCTAGACCGTGGGCAGTGGCGGCGGGGCGGGTACGTTTGGATTGTTCGCTCGCGAACGTTGAACGGTACGACGAAAACGCAACGAAACCGTCGACTGCACTTAAAAAACAGAAAACGATAATAGTAACAGAAAACACGTGCGATACCCGTGAATCAGTCTTACGTTGATGGTGGGAGGATCGTGTTGAGGTTCTAGTGGGGGTGGAGAACAGGTAAACACCGTGTGAGAGACAAGTGGCCGAGCGTTCGATTGTTCCAGGTGTTCGTCGACCCGTACGGCGCGACGTTGCACGCGGGTGGCGTGTGCGGGCTGTCCGTCAGCGACCTGATGCCGATGTTCATGACGTGCGGCAGGGTGGACCGAACTGTGAAGCTGTGGGACTATCAGCAGTGCGAGCTGCTGCTAACCGAACGGTACGCGGAGGACGTGCTGGACGTGTCGCTGCACCCGTCCGGGCTGTACGCGCTGGTGGCGTTCGCGCGGTCCGTCACGTTCAACGTCGTGTCCCGCACGGACGGGCTGGTGCCGCGCCGGACGTTCGGCGCGGAAGACTGCCGCGGCACGCGGTTCAGCGGTTCCGGGCACATGTTCGCCGTGACCGACGGCACCTCGGTGGACGTCTACTGTTCGGTCACGTTCGCCAAATGTTTCAAGCTCAACGGCCACCAAAGCGCGGTAAAATGTTGTGTGCGTCGCTCGCGCGGATATTGAACGCCGATCGTTTCTCGACGCGTACGCCTCCCTTACTACCACCCCCACCCATCCTACCGTGTTTGGTCACATCCTTGGGGGAGGGGGCTTAAAATGTTTGGCTTATCCATTACCGTAAATAGACCTACTTCAACCAACCATAGTGGTCACTCCTACTTTATCCTAGTCGAGGCAACAAATATACACAGGCAATAGGAAATATTTGAACATTGAATAGCTACTCATTTTTTTTAATTTTTTTTTTTCATTTCAATTGCACATATCTATTCCTTTATTTCCTTTATTACCTACAAAATATGGTTTTTCCAAACCACGATAGTCCATAAATGTTCCAGACCGTTCTCGAGTACCAACGGAACAAAATAAAAATTATAAATATCACGATTCATTTTCGCGTATGGTGCGGTTTGATACGTTCTGATTAAGTTTCCTCGCAATATCCGCCTATGCCTCCTACTGACGTCGGATAACAGGTGCAGTGAACAACGTTTTCCGCGCGACTACTTGAAAAATATCTGTTCAATCGTATTAAAAATATCATCTGGACTCTTGTGCGCGGCCCGTGTGGTGCAACCTGTTGTCGTCGAAACCCCCCGGTACAGTTCAGTTTGTCCGGTATATTTTGTCTCGGGAAAAACGGTGATCGTACGTCATTTTTTATTAAGCTTGAATTCCAACGAAGATTTGCATCCGTCACGTGTCCGATTGCCGACCTCGGGAGTCTGGGAATGCAGTTGAAAATCGTCGATTTTGTTTTCGTTTTTCAACCGATTGTTGTTCGATGCGTTTTCCTGTTAAAGCGATTGATGTTTTTCGTTTTGTGTTCAAGCATTTCGATTCGATTGACAATCGCGTTCGGTCGCTGATAATCGTTGAAACGGATTTGTTACAATATTCGTTATAATGGAAAGTAAAGTTTAAATTATTTTATTATTTTATTGGTACATCTAACTTACGGTTATACAATATAAACATTTTTTGATATCGTAGATAAAATATTTAATCATTCGTTCGATCACCGGTATATTCGGAACCGGCCTTTGCTCGGAATCGTTTTATAAACATGACGATTTATTCAAATGTACGCAAATGTTTGCAGCAGCACGATAGATTACAATCAGTCCGTCTCAATTGAGGATTTTTATTTTTTTTATATCGGTTATACATCGGGTGAACACGAGCAATCTTTTTCGATTTAAAATTTCATTCGTCTGATAGAAATTAAGTCGTCATCGATTTTTATTCTTAATCCTGTTACTAAACGGTTGATATTTAGAATCGGTGAAGTCCTTCAAATTTACAATTCGGTATGAATATAATTAGAACGGTAATTTAATAGAAATGCAGGTTATGTGCAGGGTGTATTATATACGAATATAAAATATCAAATACTTTAAGCTAAAGTTGAAGTAATGTATGCCAAGTCCTTGGAATCAGAGTCCAATTATTTGTATGTTCGAGATGATAAATAACTGAATCGGCAAAAACATCAGATTTCGTAATAAATAGAATTTATCACGTTACCAGCAAGTATATTTTGTTGAAAACGATCCGGGTCTGAAGGGTTCTGGAAAATTCTAAAAATACAATTCTACCGTAGCACATTATACTTGTATTATATTTCTTACGTTACCGCCTGACACGATGACCATGTCATAAAATATTGTTTAACATTAAGAACAATATTTGAAGACTTGTTGTTTTGTGACTTCTTCGTCCGTCGGTCAATATCGATAGCCCGTTAACAATAAAATATTACAGTTTTTATATACTCAATTACAGTATTACAGTATTACAGTAGTCACTGGACAATTCGAAATTCGGCGGACTGAGCTAAAAATTCGATTTATCGAGTGTTCGAATAACTGAGGGAAACAAATTAATTCGAATTTAAGATAGGTGAAAAATTTTATGTAACTATTTATTACATTTATGAATTGACGTTTATTCATTATATTATTTTTTTTTCAATTTTACGATTAAAGTCTAGATTAGGTAGGTAACGTACGATAAAATTTATAAACTACGATAATACTCGATCGCCATCGTTATTAATCTCATAGGTAGCGAATATGTCAAATAGATGTACATAAACTTTATACGTATACGTACATACGTATAACCGCGTTAAAGCAAATTCGAATTATAAAGGTTTTGGAAAAAAAAATTCGAATTGTATAGTGACCAACAGACATTTCGAATTATCGAGGGAACCGGAATACGTGTATTTTCTTCTAATTATAGAGGTTTTTTCAGGGAATTAAGGGTTTAGTTCGATTTATGGAGTTTTTCGAATTATCGAGGTTTGAACTATCGAGTGACTACAGTAATAATAATATAACAAATGCTGTTTTTTTTTAAATTTTTTTCATTTAATTTATAAATTTACCCTCGATCCGAGTTTTTTCAATTGCAACTATATGTTATATCAATATTTCATGACATATGCTCATACTTAAAAACATTATTCTGAACTCGATTAATAAAATTATAGGTACTTAATCTGTGTTCTTATTAGATTTTACATTAGGTCTTATCTGTGTTTATCCTTTCCAGTTTTTTTATCGTTTGTTTTCATACATCAGTCCTCGTTCTTCGAGATGTTGTTTTCTAATTAAATTAATAATTTACTACTTGTGTAACGGAATATTCAAATTTAATGTATCTTATGTTACACGATAGATATTTAATGCCGAAGGAAATCGTTATCGTAAATTTAACAAATAGTTCATACCAAAGAAAACTAAGTAATTTAAACATCATGTTTTATAAGATAATATTTTTTCGAGTCAATTTACGCGTTACATTCTTAATTTATAACCGATTGATGCGGTGCATCACATTGAGTGCGCTGTTATATTTAACAGTATTCGGAGTTGCTCAGTGTATAAAAAAAAAAAAAAAAAAAAAAATTAAAAAAGAAATAACAGAATTTACATGAATGTTTTATACATATATATATGAGGTACAATAAATACTTGCAAGACCATTATATGTATATATATATATGTGTGTGTGTGTGTGTGTAATGATGTAATTTAATACTATTAAAAGCAGCAGGGTTTATATTATTATGATTGTTATTTATGTCATAATAAAAAAAAAGCATATTACAAAAACCAATTTCAAAAGAGAATAAAACACTTTTATAAACTGATGTTTTTTTTTTCATATTACAAAATGAGTTTTGCATCGAACCATTTGATATACAGTGGTCTTCCGTTTTAATGCGAACAAACAACAGTAACGAGCGTCGTTTCTCCTTCACCCGCCACTACTGTGGTAATACGTGCACTGCGGTACAGGTGTATAGTGGAAACGCGTCACGATGCGAAAAACATTTTATACGCGGACGCACGGGGCATGTCTACCGAACACCTAACGAAGACGTGAGCCATGTTTGACATGAGCCACGTCTCTTGCGAACGATTTAACCAAATGTTGCCCTTAAAAAAAAAAAAATGATTCCATCTTGTTTTTTTTTTCGGTTTTATTTGGTATTCATTTCCGATAAAATAGTATAGACCGTGTAGTTCCTCGGGCTGTAGGGCTCGGTTTTGTTACTGGTGGTTACCCAAAGCCATGTAGAGAGAAACCCGAGCCCGGGGGTATATCTTAATTTTTTCTGTAGTGTTCATCAAATTCTTATCATTAATTGTGTTTAATTTTTAATAATTTGTAGTCCCTAATTTCCGGGCTATCTCGAAAATTCCAGAACCGGGATGGATCATCCCTTTCCCCCCTTGTCGTCAGGCCTGCGGTTACCACTTTGGTAACGTTGCTTTTCGCCGCCGCGCGCAAAGAATTTTACCGTAGAAATAAAGACGACACGAAACGTTATTGCAGATCACAGATCTGGTGTGGGCCGCAAACGACTGGAAGCTGTACACGTGTGACGGCGACGGTGGACTGTGTCGGTTCAACTTGTACACCGACCAGCATATTACCGACATGGTGTTTCGTGGTCAAAGCATTTGCGGCCTAGCCGTGTCGGACAACCTGAAAGAAATCTATACGGTCGCGCAGGACAGCAGCGTCCGAGAGATATACGGTCGAATGGTACGTGTTTGTGCAGGGCACCAAGGCGCGCTTTCTATGATCGAACACCATAAAAACATTGCTCGTTGATGTTCCCATGTGGTAGTAGTGAGGGGAGATATTTAACGGTTTTGGTAACCCTTTTACCGATAGTTTTTTTTTAGAATTAGAAAGCAATCCAAACTTACCCTCTCCCTATGTCACAAAATGGTTGAAAAACAATCGAAGAGGGTAGTTGTAAATATTTTAAGTGTTTACAAACAAAAATATACTCGATATCAATTGTAAAATTGAATGAAAAATATATCAAAATAATCTCTTATAAATCTATATTATATTTTAACAGTACGTAATTTTAGATTTAATCATCTGAAAAGAATATGTTATGGTGGTAAAATTTAACAAAAATTAATCTACTGCGGTATTGAAAACGATTCGGATGGAAGAAAGAAAAGCAGATATAGACAACCACAATCCTAAATTACTCATACCTATTAAAATAATAATAATTTTTTAACAATTCAGGTTTTTCTATTCTGATTTTTTTATAATTGAATATTATACATGTTATATCCCAGGTGATTCGCAATAAAGATCTAAATCACGGCTCGTTAAATGGTATAATTTTGTTCAAATCGAATAAAATGCTGTTAGTGGCAGGCCAGTATGGTGTCATACTGTCGTTGCCGTTGCCGTTAAAATCTAAAATCAACTACAAAGAGTTTTACATTCACAACAAAACAATATTGAAGGTTAGTCAACTGCAATGTAAAAACATTTAACCTTTTAATGGGCGTATCGCTTTTGCAGATGAGACTGTCAACAGATGACGCTTCATTGATCACGTGCTCTGCAGACGATAGTATTTGTATATGGAGGGTGAAGAATTCAAATTTCTTCCACACGAACACAACGTTTATGGAGAACACATTGGTCTCGTTTAACTTTTTGAAAAATAAGATCGATAGAACCAAAGAATTAGAATTGAAATTAGAAAAATTGACGAAAAAGAAAGAGCGCGATAAACTTAAACTTATCAAAAATCAAGAAATGTGGTTAAAAGTTGTGCATGACCAATATGCTTTGGATATGAAACGAATCGAAAATGAGAAAAAAGTTAGTACTTTGAATCGTTTCAATAAAAAAGGATATTTAAGATTCTCTAATGTGAGAAATAATATAATGGTCTCAATATATTAAATGAGTGTTGAAAAAAATAGATAAAATGCATTAGTATTTAATACGTAAGTAATTTGAATGATAAAAATAAATCAGTATAAAAATATTTATAGGAAACTATTATTTATTTAATTTTCAAATAGAATAAAAAAAAAAAATTGAGATATTGAGTTTCAATAAAAAAGTAAATAGAAATATTGAATAATTTAAAACACATAATATTAATACATACTCATACCCATGAGAACTGCAATATAATATGATTTTTTTTTTTGTTTTTAACCTATCATTAAATTTTGTCTATCTTGGCCCTATGCAAACTAATTTAAGGAGTAATTTTCATTTTTTAACCCCCCATTATTGAACATCAATAAACATATTTTTTGTTGTATATTTATTGAATAATTAATGACAAAATATTGGGCGGAACTTTGAATTCTTTTATAATTTCATATTTTCCGCAACTGTAAGAACATTTAGTTTTTATTTATTACAATTTGTATTTTTCACTATACTGAATGAGCTTTACAATTTATTTTCTGTTCTTAGCATAATAAAAATGTTGTTTATAACAACTTTTGTGCACTCGAAATGGCGAAAAACAATTAATTTTTTTTATCGAATTATTTAGTATAAAACGATATTGAGTGTAATTGTAATTTCAAGAAGGGGATTTAAACGCAGTTCAAGATAACAAAAAAATCTAGATAGTGACGTTCAACATAATATGAATCTAGTGTTATTTGATATGTAGGAAATATTGGCTATGTTTCATGCTGATAAAGCACGTTTGGAAAACGAAATAAGCACGCTAAAAGAAAACCACGAGCGAGATTGGATAACGTCGAAGGAAAATTATGAAAAGCAGCTTTCATACGAAGATGATAAATATGAACAGTTGATAAAAGACGCGTCTAATAGCGATGCAGATTTCAAAAAGTGAAATTGTTTGATATATAATTTAATAAACAATTTTAATAAACCGTGTTTTAGTGAAGGAGAAATGATTACAACGGAACATCAAAAAGTCATTCAGAAGTTGACCGATGACTTTAATAGAGATGTTAAAGCAATGGAAGATAAGTTTGAAAAAGTACGTAATAATATAAGATATTGTGCATAAGAATAATTTTGTAACAGGGGTAGTACTTTTGTTAGTTTAAAGGGCAATTAAAAAAAGAATGGGATCAAATGTATTTGAAAATGAATGAATACGACGACCAAGGTGATCGGGAAATGTTAGAGTTAAAAATGTATTATGATACAAAATTTCGAAAATTGTCTGCTGAAATAAAACAATCTCAGGTGTTCATCAAAGATTATAAGAAGAAACTTATAAAGTAAATGTTTCTTGTATATTACGAATGAAATATATATATATTGAGATTATCATGTTTCAGTATTGGGAAAAAAAATGAAGAATTACATTATATGTTAGATAAATTCAAAGAAGATATGGAAGTATCGAAAACTGAAAAGAAAAATTTAATGGAGACGGTTACGGAAACAGTAGCGAAAATAAATAAGTACATTCAATTAAAATCTGAACAAAATGATATCATTAACAGCAGGAAATCGGATATGGAAAATATGAAAATACTGGTATTAATTTTGGGAAGAAATGAGATCGAATTGAGAAGTACTATTAATTCATTGAAGTTAACACTAAAGGAAAATAAAATAAATATGCTGGACGTGAGTACATCTGTAGATAGTTGGTTATCATTATAATTATTTGAATCCTTTGAATATGCGTAAAAATGCAATTATGGCTAAAAACAATCTAAAAAAAGGGCACTATAATGGAAATAATTAAACAACATTAAACAACAGATTTAAAACATTTGTGCAATCCGTAGGCGTAAATTTGGATTGCCATAAGGGAGGCTAAATTGAAATTTAAAGTTGAAGTTGAAGACCACACGTCCACCCCACACTCCCTCTATTTTTATTTTGCAATCATTTTAAAAAATTTATACAAATACTTTATAATTATTTATTTTACAAAACATACAAATTTTAATTTACCTATATTACATTTTCTTTCTATTAATTTAACATGACAGACATAATAATGTTCATCAGAAAATTGCTTAGGAATTCTAACCTCATAGAAATATTTCCAGTCTCGCGTTTTTCTATGTATAAAACATTTGATTGAATCCATCTGTAATATGGATGTTCGTAACTTTGTTTTTATCCGGTGCATAGCAGAAAAGCTTTTCTCGCACGTGAAGGATCTATTGGGTAACGTTCGATTTATTTTATACGAATTAAACGAGTTTGGGTAGAAATTTCTTTGCCAAATAAGCTTTAAATGGATGCGGTAGTAAGATATTGTACCTATATATACTGGGTTTTTATATAAATGGTGATTTTATTGATTAGTGATAATAATAGACGCTATGCTAAGATACGTCGCACGAAACGTATAAACTACCTGTTATTGTCTTCGTTGTAAAATAATAAATATTAACTTGGTGACTAGTTATGTAATTTCATATTTTGTTACACGTAATTATTCATACATGAAACTTAAGCCACAGAACATATTATTAAATTTAATCTGTTATCCTGCTTAACAATAATTATGACGTTATACCAATTACATTTTATTAAGAATATTATATTTTAGGGAGCTAAAAGATTGTTTGGATAAGATAAACCTTGCGATTTACGTTTATGGTACAATATGTTTTATTATTTTTCTTAGTGCTAACTCAGTGCAAATAAAACCAACGAACAAAATTATGACTGTTGTGTTTACCAATTGGATGTATATGTTTGCCAAAAATATAATTTGTACTTAATACATTACTTAGTATATTGGAAATAATTATGTTTTTGGGTAACATCATATCGTATCTGCTAAAAAGTTGTAGGTGAAAGTATATCTGTAAACGGAGGGATGAAAATGTTTTGTTAAAATTGGAAAAAAAAAAGGAAACGTGAAAAAATGCCGTTACAAAATTGCCATTTATTAATTCTCCGACTCGCGAGACGAGTTTCGTGCGTGGATAACGTTGTTTAAGACAAGTCGAAATGGAATTTTTCATTCGAATCCGTGTACTTGATACCATCACGTCGTTCACGATGCCGTAACGTTAATCGTGCGCACGCTCGTTTGCAGATAGAAGAAGAACTGTGCTTCGTCAAAACGGAGTTTAGGGAAATGAAAGTGGACTACATCGCCCAGGAAGATAAGATAACGGTGATCTCGAACGAATTGGCCAGTGCGAGGGACTACCACGAATCACAGAACGCGGTCATCGGGTACGTGGTCTTCAACATACAGATCATTTTTAAAACGTACTCGAACAACGAAGTGAAACTGAAAGATTCCGTCCGGGTAAACATTACGATACGTGTACACCGGGTGTCTTCGACCGTTTTTAGGCCGTGTATTGTTCAAAAATTATCTTGTCGGTCGCCCCTTACGTGCGTTTTGGACAATTTTGGACAATCGAGTTTCATTTACGAAATCGTTGCACAATTGTACATAGATATTCCGATTATTCCGATACGAAATTCTCTATCTAATCGTTCGTCCAATCTTATATCTTTAGAAACGTTGTCGGGCCATGGCCGTAAATTGAGTGCTTCACGTTTTCCGATAGCGATATCAATCGGAGTAGATCGGAATAGACGTAATAAATGGTAAGCTTATAACGCGAGTTGAAGACACTTGACGCACGCTGTTCTGGTTCGAAACGCATATGATTCTTATCGGTGCAATCGATTTTGGTGTAGTTATAACGGTATACTGTACCCGTGTTCTTTTGTTGTTCTCAGGAACTGCACCGCAACTTCGTGAACATGGGTCTGACGGCGTATCTGAACACGGACTTGACCAGGAAGATAATGTTTTTGGAAAAATGTTTGGCCCGTCTGAAAATCGAGAAAACCGCGGCCGAGCGGAAGCCCCCGTCGTATCTGAAGTTAACCAAGGACAACATAGTGCTGGTTGAAGAGATCAACAAGCTGAAAAAGGAATTGGTTTTTAGCAGGGTCAATGTTCAGAATCTGGAATGCGAAGTGGCGAAGAAAATGCGGGACAACGATCCGAAGAAAAAGCACTAGCCGACGCGAAACGTAATTTTTTTTATTTCACTCGCATAACTATCGAAACGCATGAGCATTACCGTCTTGGAATTATTATAATTATGCGCAAAAAAAAAAAAAATTAAAAAAAAAAATAATAAAATAAAATAATAATTTATTGTGACATGGTTTGTTTGTTCTTTATTTTCTACGTCGGTAAAAACGTCTATTAGTTATTATGAAACTAACGCAATAAGATACATTGCATTATTAATTTGTATACATTTTAAATATTAATATTTATAAATAAAAGCCCCTACATATAGGTTGAATTATGCTCGGTCTAATTGAAAAATTATGCATCAAACGCAGGGTAAAATTATTTCATTTGAGTGTTCTACCTGATCAAGGTGTTTTTAAACAATCTACACTGCTTGTTCGATCGTTATCAATCGGGTGTGAACGTTAAGCACTCGTTTCCTCTGTGAATACTATGAATACATTTATATACGGAAACAAACTTTTATAAAAAAGGTACTATACTTACTGTACTCAAAAACTGAAGAGTTATTCTGTACAACATTTATAATCATGAGTATGCGAAGACGTGTATTTCAGGGGGTGCATACAATACTTTTGGTATCCTAACATTAAGTATATTTAATAAACTATTATGTATAAATAGTTTGTAATTTTGCAGTCAATCGTAACTGTTTTATTATCATAATAGGTTTTTGAACGAAAGTTTAGAAATTTTATTTTATTTTTTCTATTGCGAAATATCATTTATCTTTTTACCAAATATTTTAGAATAAACTACATTTCAATTGAGCAGAATCAGTTAAGATACGGGTTCGTTACTCTTAGACTTAAGTTATAGGACCCCGTTTACAACATTTCGGGAGGTGCCCCGCTTATAACTGTGGCAACAAATGTTTTAAATCGGTGACATTTTGAAACATTGTAATGCCACATATGCCACTTAGGATGTGTCCTAGAAACGATTCTTGTATTTTTCCACGGAGGGATTTTGTAAATTTTGCTTTTAATTTATTTCCAACTATTAATGACGTGAAATGGGCACTGAGAATCATTATAATTCACAATCCAATTACTATCAATCTCATCGCCGACCTCCTTCCCGACTCCTTTTCCATAACTTTTATGTAATCCGTAGTCGCGATTCAGTGCATCGTACGTTTTTATAACTGCCACGTGCCGTTAATCTTCCTTTATACCGCATGCACTTAAAATCTAGTACTTGTTATTGTTGGTTTTTTTTTTTTTTATTGCACGCGAAAAGCGTCTTCGTTTCTTTTTATTTCGATAAAATAACCGGAATATCGCGTGAAACGTTGTTTCATTGAAAAAAAAAGTCTACCGGGGGTTTGCAACTCGTGTAGCCGATCGGTTATGTTTAATCCCGCGTCATCCATCATTCGAGCCGCCGATCCGTTGGTTCGGCGTCGTTCAAAGGAAGCTATCGACGATTGGTGTGCGCACTGCACGCGCGTCACTTGTTCAAGATCTGCTATCCGGACGCATTAGTAATGTTGAGTACGGACACAAATGAAAACGAACGGATTCATTTGCCGGTGTACACAAATCCTCTTCGTTTTCAACCCGTTTAATAACGTTACAATGGAATCGGCAACGTTTCTGGCATTGGCGCACACGTATAATGTTTGTAGAGATTCAAATCATTCGTCCGCAATCGATCTGGTCGAATTTTTTACGAACTCGGTTCGCAAACATCTCATTTCATCTTTTACACAAACACAATCCGCATTAAGTTACGTCACTAATTATATACATAAAGTTTACCGAGGACTCCGAGAAGTAGCAACTCCCATTCTCATATGAATCGTGTTTGTGTATAATTTTCTTTTATTGATCGCGTACGTTATCAATGTAGTTATCAGTCATCGCGATTGATTCTCTACGTTTACATTGCCGTACAACAAATAACGGACCATACGCGTACACTGATCCACGCTCTGAGGGTTTATGGAGATTTTGGAAACCCCGTCCTTCAGATTCAATACAATTTGTCGAATACGAACGTATTGATTAGAACTTACATCGCCCTTAAATGAGATGTGTTGTACTTTTGTCAAACAATTTTGCCAAATAATTCAAGTGCATGTCAATCACAAACCGTTGCTTAAAATATACGTTTTTGATACGTGACCGGCACAGAATTTGACTCTACAATCTCGATTGAAATCAAGTATTATACCAATCTGTTCATAAACTGGCCACAACTTCGTCGAACACACAACGTTTACTAATAGATTAATTAAAATTAAAATAAATTTCAATAATTAGCTCGTTGCAATTAAATTAAAATTATCATAAGTCAATATTTCACTGCAACTGTAACTAAATAGTCATTAAATAAGTTCATTCAATAAATAAATAAAAACGATTAATACTATAATTATAAATTTGTATTTATTTTATAAGTACCATATTTCAATCATTTACAAGTATAAACAACATGATTGTCATATGTATGCTGATAATTATCGATACAATTATTGGAGGTGTTAAATATATATCTATGGTACCCATTTACAACATCAGTATTTCAGTCTTTATTTCATGAATAAAAATCCTATGTATTATTCTCTGCGTTTTTAGATAAAATAAACACGACCGTGTTTACAGATTTGTGAGATAAATTATCATTGTAAAAATAGATTTGAAAGTAAATAATTGTTTAGCATAATATTGGACATTGATTGTGGTAATAATGTAATAACATCGTTAAAAGAAAATATTTAATAATAATAAAAATAATAATTAAATTAAAAATTAATATACTTAAAATTATTTTTTTTCTTTTAAAAGTATTTGATTAGAGTTGCATGCAATAAAATAATAACTTCTAGTAGTCTAGTCTGTAGCGTAGTTGTTATTATTATTTTTGGTGATGATTAAATTTGTTTTCATAACGCATACAAACCAATACATATCATTTATGATTTGATAATAATTAAATAAGTTAATGAAGTTATTTAAATACTTAAAAAATATATTTATAAATATATATATATATATATATATATATATTATTTTGTACATTGCACACAATGCGAGTAAAAATAAAGTTGAATATTATGTTGAAATAAAAAAATAAAATAAAATAAAATAAAAAGAGGAAAAATATGAATATTATCATCAATGCCATTTTCTCTCTCTTGTTTTCTCCCTTTACAACGCGGGTGTTGTAAAAGTTAAGATAGGTTGAAAAATAAATATGAGAGGAAATCAATAGTACTGAATGAGTAAGATCGAAACGGAAACAATGACGGATGTTGTTAGCTGCATGACGCGCACTGGAGATGAGCCGGAGCTCTCCGTCGTCGTCGGCATCGTTTTGCAAATTTTCGAACAATCGGCGTCTTCGCATAAATCACACGGACTTGCCACCATTGGTTCGTAGAATGCTCTGGCGCGTCTCGCTGTAAAGTGCAAATGGATGAGAAAAAATAACCCGTCAAAAGGTGCTATTCGATAATATCAATCATAACGATATCGGAAAGGTACTTATGTGTACTGCTGAGTGAATGGTTTAAAACGAAATATTGTTCACACTTACACTGGTCGTAATAATCGTACATGGTGACGGGCACTGGCTTGTGTTTGGCTACCATGTGCGTCCGATACGCCGATATGGTTGGACAGTACTCTTTCTTCATCATCTGAAATATTATTATTCGGTCAGTTGTGACATTAAATTAAAAAAAAAAAAAAAAATCAGTTAAAATGAATCAGTAAAAATAAACTGATAGCGATGTTCATCAATCGGTTGTGAATTATACATCGAAGTAACATCAAGAATCAAATCGAGATTTTTTATCGAAAAGAGTATGTTGAGTTTTAACGGAAAGCAAAAATGTTTTTCTCTTTAAAGTTAAAAAACCTTGACGTTTAAATAGTTGCACTGATTTGAATATTTTTTTTTTCAGTTGAACATATGATTTTTATGTATAAAGAAAATATATCGACATCAAGACGTAGCTTAAGGGAAAGTGGTAAATTTGCTGCAAAATTACCCTTTTTATCAATATGTAAATTGCGGCAAGAAAAAATTTAACGTTTAACAATCTGCGACAAAACGGATAAGATACATTATTATAACATTATACAGGCTGAGGAAATTTAATTTATATACCCATGATATATTCCGTGTGGTGTGTTATATGTACTTATGTGTGTACAACGTTTAATTATGTTATTTTGCGTCTTGCGTACAAAATGGCAATCCAAATGTATTTTTAAGTCTTAACGGAACATACTAAAAATTGATTCCTTTACTTTTGATAACACTAGAAAGTACCTACTTAATAGTGTTAGATGTCAGTAGAAGTAGTTAAAAGTTTATTATTTAATTCAAATTCAAATACGAATAAAAAATAAGTGGTAATAAAACATAGTAACATGCAAGATGCAACATAACATAATTAATTAAACAGTATACGTACATAGGTACACATAGGTAGGTATATAATATCGAAAGTATATAAAATACATTTCCGCAGTTTGTATAATGTATCTTATCGGTCTTGTCGCAGATTGTATAATGTTAACATTTTTCTTGCCTCAGTTTACACATTGACTTTTAGAAAAAGGTTAATTTTGCTGTAGTTTACATAAAGCCACTTAAAGAGTCGCAATTACAACTAAAAGGTCTGTATAAGACTCAGGAGCCACAGGTTGTCGACACCTGACCTAGCTAGTCGTTAATTTCTTAAACAAAAATTAAACAATAAATATCACTTATTCAATAATATAATTATTTTATAATTATTCGTCAAAGTCTATGATATTACAAAATTTACTAGTATATAGTTAATGCCTGACAATAAATAAAAAATAATTATTGTTACACAAAAGTAAGGCTCAGATGTTAATGAATATAGCGATTAATAAGTAATGTAATACACAATCGAGTAGGAATAATTAGGTAATTATATGTTCAATAAAGTATTTAATAATCGGTTTTTTTAAGTACTTTTAACTAACATACACATTATCAATGAATTAAACGTACATTTACTTCAAATTTGAAGAATTGTAAATTTTTTGTTTTTAATTTCCATTTTAAACGACTAAATTAAAGACATTAATATACCGATTTCGAACGTTGTATCCTATCAGTGAAATCGAATGACTAACAGAAAATAAACTTGTGAGCAACAAAAATATATTTAAATGGGATTAATTTTCTTTTTTAGACTTTTAAGTTAATAAAAGTTATATTAATATTATATATTTAATTGTATAGCTATAAATAAATAAAATCTTCATTTTAAATACGTTTATCTACATATTAATAGGTTAACGGATTTGATATCGAGACTTCGTTCATCAAATTTGTGTCATGCTTAGTGATACTTATCGTTGCACGAAAAAAACATTTAGCGTCATAAACATCTGAGCTCAAGTGTTAATTACATTATTGTTAATTATAATTAATACATTAATATATAATTGTGTTGATTACATCATGATCGAAAGAAATTTGACTCGAATAACAATAATTTAATGAAATTATAATTTTTAGAAGTTTAACAATTTAAATGAAAAATATTTTCTATTTCGATGAAAAAATAAATAAATAACGATCGCATTTCCATAAATATTATCATGCGAATTCACCTTGTCAAAGTATAACATAACAACTGAATCTCCATCTTTAGTTTCAATTCGTTTTATGTTATTAGACACTCGAAGGCTTGGTAATGCATCGTTATCCAAGGTATAACCAGAGGGTAGTGTCACTTCCATTATGGCCATGTTGCTCTCGTCTCCTTCTAAGAGTCTGAAACCATGCGCAGAATAATACGTTACAGCCAATATTTATAAGCATATCGATCGAGTGCACGAGTAATAATAATAAAAATAATATACGTTAAAGTTACTTACCCCGAGCAAACCGATAGCTGCAAGAAGTTGGCGTTTGAGGATTTGCTTACTTGTGGGTCCAGTGAAAACAGTGGCCAAGCACCGGTAACGTTCACGTTGTACCTGTACGACACTTTCACAATAGCGAACCCTGTTCCGGTGGCCTTGATGTTTACAAATCGCGTCTGCTTTGGAAGCTGTAGAAAAACAAAATCACACATTTGGTCAATGCACACAGTTTGGGTAGCGGAGGGTGAACGTGCGTCGTTGTCCGGACAGTACCCGTAACACGTCGGTGCGTTGTACACTGGTATTGACTTACTTCGACCAGTTGCAACACCATGGCATTATCTTGCGTCACTTTGAGTTCAGTTTGTCCACTTTTCATGTACGAAAACGTGGCAGATAATCGCATCGAGCCCGGCGTAACTTTTTGTGCCATCTGAGAAAGCGCGTACAACGTGATCACGGTGTCCTGGAAAACAAGTACAGGAAAACGTTCTCAATCGAATTGTAATTTTAATTGAAATGTAATTGTTTGCGTTGGCCGATGAATATAAATACAAAAAAAAAAAAAAAAAAAATACGAAATACAGTGAAAGCTGTACAACTAACCTGGCTGGACGCGAATCCTCCCTGTTCGTTTTGTTGAGATATCAACCAGTGCAGGATCGGCAACGCGTCTTCAACGAGTTCCCGTTGTAAATACGTCAGCAAAGCGTACGCCGTCATTTCAATGTCGACGGAATTGGGTTCCCGGGCCCACGGGTTTTGCTTGTCGTTGGCGCGGCCCACGCGTTTCCACCATTTCTTTTCGTCTGCAACCGTACAAACGAACGATTATTGCCGTTGCGGTCCAGGGGCGTATTTTAGGGGGGGCGAAGGGGGCTATCGCCCATCCTCTGAACCCATATTTAAGAAATCAATTATAAGTGATATACACATTTCAAATTTTTTTAATGTGGATCATTTTATAACGAAATCAAATTACGCGTGGCTGTGAATACTGAATTGGGCTTTATTACAAGCGTAACATTCAAAACACAGACAGGCGTTAAAAAAGAACTACACAGAAGTCGATTCTAAGTGGATCCGGAATTAGATTAAAAAAAAAAACCAAAATTATCAATTTCACCTGATCAATGTATTAATCTGATTTAAATATTACCAAAAATGTTACTTGTAAATTTTGAACCTGAATTAAAGAAAAAAATTGAGTCGCTCTCACTTAAAAGTAAGATTAAATATACGTCTCTGGTATGGTGTACGAGTGCACCCATTGCCATATATGTCATTGGCATACTCACCGGACGTAGTGGCTTTCAGCTCGAGCAGGTTGAACGCGACGTTCTTTTCTGGATGGTTGGCCAAGTGTAGTGCGTACGAGCATATGGCCAACACGTAGGGGTCCTCCGTCCCCGGGAAGTTTTTCACCACGTAATCGATGGCTTTGTTGATCGTGTTTCGGTAGATTGGCGTGGCTTTTTGGTTCTCCAGGAATGCGATCAGCGTATAAGCGGTGAGCGCCAGTCCTTTAGACGATCCGCCCTGCATGTCGCTGTGGCTGACATGGCCCACTTCCGGGAAGCTACCGTTGTTGGCCTGGTTGTTGGATAACCACTGCAGACCATCGAGGATGATTTTCTCTTCGACTGGTATGTACGGCATCGCTTGTCTGAATGACTTGACAACGTACGCGGTCAACCTGTAAGACGGGGGTTGGGTTTTACACGTTGTTCTGTAACGGTCGCGTTCGTGTTTTCGCCGACGAAATAAGATAAACAGTAAGACCACTCGCACTCACCACGTGCTGCCGCTTGCGTCCGCTGAACCGAAAGCACTGAATGAGCCGTCTGATCTGCGGTACGTTAGCTCCTGTTGGTATCCGGTTTCCATGTACTTCAACGATTTCGTTTCAATGGCGGTCGTCAGCTGTCTCGTGTTCTACGGAAATACCAATCTTTTAACGAATTTAACGTCTTGTTATCCAAAATGTTATTGTAAACATCAATATAAATATAGCATTCAGTCCTATGGTCAATATCGTTATCATTACTATCCGTACGTACCTTCAAGTAATCTAAAACAACTATGTTGGGCACAAAGTTCAACATGTTTTGCTCGCCGCAACCGAACGGCATTTGAATCAAAGACGCCAAATTCATCGTACTCGGTCCCAATATGTCACCTGTTATTTTGACATCAGTTAAAATCAAATTTATATGCGTTTTGAACAAAAAACATACCAACTGCTCCAATTTCAATGAACTCGGAATCGGGGACAATATTCTGAGGAATGTCTAAAGTTATATTTTTTTCAAACGAAGTTTCTTTCCTGAGATCCACGAAGAATGCTTGGTTTTTATAGATAGTTTCTCCTTCCGGCTAAAATAATAAGAAAAATGACTTCGTTTAATAGTCAACTATTGATTATTCATTAACAAATAGTGTACGGATGATGAGAATAAGGAAAAGTGGAACATAAATGTTTTAAATAGATATTGACATATATATTTATGTATGCTTACAAAATTAATAAATTAACGTTTTAACTCATCATATTCATTGTTAGTTGATCGAATAATTAGAAAAACGGAAACCTACCTTAACCAACAATTTTTTATCTATAACATCGCCAGCCAATGGACTATTAGCGGTCAACTTGATACTAATGTGTCCTAAAGCTTTGGCTTTTATCAAGAATGATGTCGTGCTTCCAGAATTTGCTTTGATATACAGTTTTTTTCTTTGGTATAGTTCCAATTCTATTATTTAAAATAAAATATATAGTACAAGTCATTAGTAAGATATTAAAATACGTTATAAGCAACCGAGATTTTAACAATGTATCATACTTGTATCTTTGACTTCATTACTGTTTCCATTGGTATAGTCGGCGAAATCGAACTGACCAATGTTTTCTAAAGTTACGTCAGCTGTAACATCCTTCCTCATGTAATTAAATACTACCACTGGGATAGCAATGATCTCGCCTCTTCTCACGGAATACGGTAAATCAACGGAAATGAAAAACGGCTTGAATACTTTTAGCTGTGAAAACCAATTTCACCGAGTTGATAAAAGTTATTTATTTTTCGATTAGAAAATAATATTAAGCATTACACAATAATGCTTCTTATCTACGTGTTGGTAATATTTATAATAAATTATTAAAAAAAAATTAAAAAAACCTGTATTAAAAAATTCATTAGTCAGTTTTTGTTTAAAGACTAAATATAAAAGTCGTATAAAACTTTAGCTCTATAATATTAAATCATAATAACATTATTTATAACATAAAGTAAAATTGACTGTAAAATTATAGATATTGTTATTTGTGTCCGTATATTTATTAATGAATAATGTCATAAAAACGTATAGTAAAATGAAATCGGAGATAATTAAATTAAATTTTTTTTAGTAGTCCTGATCGATCGTTATACCATAATGGATTAAAGTAAACTAATATTTAAGACCTTTTACCTTTTTGGGTGTATCAAGAAGGCCAAGACCGTAAAGAGAGTCGATTGAGAATGCTGATATCACCCACGAAGTGATTGTGTCAGGCACTTTGGACTTCAAGGATGCTCGTCCATCTTGCCTTTAACACCACACACAAAATATAAGTTGTTAGTTATACATATGAATACATTTTTTAAATACATTTAATAAAAAAAATATATATATTTTTAAATACATTTAATAAAAAATATATATATATATATTTTAAATACATTTAATAAAAAATATATATATATATTTTTAAATACATTTAATAAAAAAAAATATATATATATTTTTTAAATACTCAAATTTTTTTATCAATCACCATGAAAAATGTAAAAGGTTTGATTAAAACGCAAAAATGTTTTTAGCGAATGTAATTAGAATTATCATAAAACAAAAATATTATAGTAAATTAAAATTTCATATTGTTGATTATAGAAAATTAAATAGAAATATTCAATTCAAACGCGAAGAAATAGTAACTACTTGGTAACTACTTGGTAAATATTTTATTTGTTACTCTCACTTCAGTCCATTATCAGGAATAAATATTTTTATTCGTACGAAAAAGGCACGTTATGGTTGAAAATAACTTTAAATTAAATATATGAGAAACTGAATTGGTTTCAATCAAAAATTGGTAATCGAATTCAAAACGGTAAGTACCTAACTGTATTTTGTTATGAATAAATAAGAATTACTTTTTAATTTATTTAAAAATTGATTATGTAATAATATTTCAGATATAACATTCTAAATAAAAAAAAAACAGATGTAAATATATTATTAGTTATACCTACATCAAGCATAACAACACTTTAATACTTTATATACCTAGTTTAACAAATTATAAATCGTAATAATGTTCTAAATAATCTACTATGGTACGTTTATATCCAAAACTTTTCGAGGACGAATGATTTACGAGTTAATCTTGATGAGAGTGGTTCAATACCAATAAGGTTTGAAACGATGAGCTTAAGTTTAAAGTTACGTTACAGTAATGTAGATTACACAAATATTAAAATACAGTAAAACTTCTCAACAGCGGGCACCCACGGGACTGTCAGAAATGTTCAATGTTTCTGCAAAATTAAATTATATTGACTTGTTAAAAAACATTTTATGTAATGTGATTAAAGAGGTATTAGAAAATCACCCTCCGTATCGTATTCATTAAATCATGAAGATCCGGTCATTGCCGTAAGTATAGAAATGTTTATAATAGATTTCTTTTTATTGATTGAACAATGTACACAGCTTATATTTAAGCGAACTATACTACCGAAATCTGTACACGTCCGTTATTCAGAGGTGTTCGTTGAGAGAGGGTTCACTAAACAACAATAGTTATTCAGTACCTAATTTTGAAAATCAAGAATCAATGAAATAAAAATGTGTATCGAATAAAAGTAGGCAAGCACCTAATCCAGTAGAAACGTCATATCAACTTTATTTTTTTTCAAATTGGCTATAATAGGTTTAGGGGAATCCTACCTAACTTAACAGTCACCAATGTTGACAATTTTTTGTTCAATTAATTTAAAATTAAAATAAACAATTTAAACAAATTGGTTAAAAAGAAAAAGAAAAAGGTTTACACATAGACTCAAACGCACTGGAACAACTTTTGTAATTATAATCTAGGAACGAAATTAAGGTTTTTACATTTATTTTTTTCATTGACCCAAATTAGTTTTATCACAAGCGTTTAAGCGTAGACAGATAAAACCTTTGATAGTTAGGAAATAATACTCATGGGCACAAACACATACGTAGACCAAAACATATTAAATAGGTATTCGATAGTGGGATATAAATGCACATATGACGTTTATGTAAATTGAAAACATAAAAAAGCATGCGTAATAAGCCCATGGTCAAATGAAAATTGAAAGCGACTATTATTTTAAGAAACAGCAATTTATCAGTACACGTAATCACAGAGTTGTAATCACGAGTAATTGGTAAAATGTTCTAGATTATAATATTGTTATTACGACCATAATGATAGGTACCTAATCTGACGTCAGATATTTAATTAGTGGTCAGTAACAACGAGTTTTAGGTACATCGTTTTGCTATAACTGTTGATTTTGAAAATATTAATTATCACTTAAACTCACGCTTTTTAACGTAGCTTAAAGTCTTAAACATCTTAAAATCAAAAACGACAAAAACGCCTATCGTTTTTTATAATACATTTAATAGTACATTTCGTCTTCGTTGCGGTCACTTTAATAGATTTGCAAATATTATCACATATATCATTAAAATAATGTAAATGTGTTTAAACTGTATTTACGTGTATTGTACATTGTTTTAAAGGCCGCAACCAAAAAAATAAATAAATAGATAAATAAAGAAAAAGAAGAAGAAATGTATAAGCTTTAGAAAAAACTTACAAATAATTACTTCGGTATAGGTGTTTACGAATCGCTCCTTTTTTTTAAAAATTAAACTGTTCGCCAGTTATTTTATCTTGGTGGGTGGTTGGGGGGGATTGTTTGACATGAAAACTTTCATTGTCAAACGTGAGTAGACTTGAGGAAACCATTTGGTAAATCGGAAAGAGAAATAGAAAAGCAGTTAAATAAATGAATAAAGAAAACGATTGCAGCGATAACAGTATTAGCGTAATGGAAGAAAAAGAAGCGCAACTTTCGCCTCAAAGTCCATACCATGTGGATAGATTAGTGAATAGCCAAGTGTCTTGTAGCGCGTGCGATAGAAAGACGCGAGGCTTGTTCCACACCGGTGCCGGTATACGGGAGAACGCGTACGGCCCGGCCAGTGGCGGTCGCGTCACCGGCCGTATGGCGAAGGCCGGCCCGTTGTCCGGTTTCACCACCGGTAGGCCGGGCGACGGGCTTGGCCGAGCCACAAAAAAATTCTTGCCGGACGGCACTGTATACAACAAAAACACAAAAAAAAAAAAGGTACAAAATACTGTGCTACGTGAACGAATGAGATGGAGGATACGATGAGAGAGAACGAGAGAAAAAGAGAGTGAGTGAGAGTGGAACAGAGTGAGAAAGAATGAGGCATTTAATAGTTAACAAATATTTCAAACAATACAATCAATTATTTTTTTTAATATTTTTTTTCCTCACGTTTATAGTGTACTTTGGTTGAGCTTAATAAAACGTTTTAAATTTTCAAGCAATTTTTCCTTGCTTTTGGCGCACAATTATTAACACGCGGCACAGCCAGAGCAGAGAGACGCGTCTGTGACGTCGAGGGAAATTTCAAAGAGATTAGTGTGCCTACTGAAATAATAATCGCGATTCGGCGGAGTCTAAACGTTTATCTGAGGCAGTAATTTAAATATACGTGATGGCAAATAAAACAGAGAATTTAATTCACGTTTTGTTCTTGCAGTGTATTGTGTTTGCACAACATCGATCTATGTTTTTAAAAAAAAAATGCGCGTATGCATTGAAGAAGTAAAAAAAAAAATCAAACGTATAATTTAATGTGTAAATAAATAGTTTATAAATATAAATAAATAAACTATTTATTTACATACTCATTTACGGGGGTAAACAGTTCAGTAATTTTTGTTTGATTTTATTACTTTATTAAAATAATTACGATTCGATGTAAATTTTAAATTTAGCTGAGGTATAGAACCTTCATAGAGAACATACTTGAAATTTTCAACGGGTACAAAATTATATAATGATTGGAAGGTACCGAATCGGTTATCAATGAATTTTGGCGTGATGGAAATGATGGAAATCTATCCCGTTATGGACTTCATATCAAAATATTCGGCCGGGAAGAGAACGTACAATGATTACAACAGTCATGAACGTCAATGGTTCATTAACGGTTTTCACAAATAAATCATTATCAGCCGCGTACAACGCAAAGTCAGACATAACTACGCTCGGCAGAAGTCTACTTACGAATCGATTCACCTGGTTCACTTACGTACAAGTTCTTTTTATATTCGCGATGGTTGCACGTGATTTTTTTATCCTACGAAACGCATGTCGTAAGTCCGATCGAACGAATGCCGTTTTGAACTGTGGTCACCGTTTGACGGCGGTCGACGGTAAATCGAAAACGGTCAGTGCCGCGATCGGGTCAAACGCGCGATGATAATCGGTGGTTAGCTCTGGCCGTATCGCAATCATTTTGCAAGCGCCTGACCTAACGTGGCGGGCACACCTATTGTTTAGGACAGGAACAAGAATCGCGGGAAACGCGCGTGGAAGGATTGTTTTCTTAGCGTTTAAAATTGGACGTTACACACAAAGCACACCCATAACCTGCGCGTTAATAAGCAGACGTTGTACCGTTACGTGCTGTGTTATTCGTGAACCACCGTCGGCGCAGCAGCCGAGTCTCATGCACGGGGAACGAAACATGTGTACGAAACGTCGGTCCGACACGATGTTTCGCGCTTGGTTCGATTAAACCGTGTTGAAACCGTGAAAAACGTTTGGATTACGTCGACCGTATAACAATCCGGTCGCCGGAATCGTCGTTTTTTTCGGCGAACATTCGAACCCACCTACCCCTGACAACGGCCGCTACTACCACGTCCGGTCACTACAAGGGTCGGTTAGACCAGCGTTGGGGTGCTCGTGCGAGCAGTGGCGGACCTTGGCATCGAGTGGGCACCGGGTGGTTGACCTGTTATTGTCATCGCATAACGGATATTTTTACTCGACATCTGTGCACAATTCATCTCGATTCGGATATCCGAACACCGAACGAACGGTGTTCTACCGTGTTCTTATCGATGCGATACCATCAATTCATAGGTGCAACTAGAGGAGCTTAATAGGGTTTTTAGCATCCCTGAGTTCAAATTTAGCACGCCTGTTTTTTTTTCAGATATAATTTATAGTAATTACAGTTAAATACCATTTTATTTTATTTTCAGCGATTTCAGCAATCCCAATATTTGGACTCTAGTTGCGCCTATGCATCGATCGCCCCTTGCCTCACCGGGCCGATCCACCCCCGCGTGCACGTGTTTCAAGCGCGTGCACTGCAACACATCAGTACGCATACGGAGCATATACTGTCGACCGCGAACCCGCGCCGCCGCGGTTTCCTGTCTATTTACCCAGCTTCAACGTTGTCCCACAGCCACGTTTCGGGGAAATTCGACCGCACTTTGATGCTGGACGAACCGTCGGCGTCCACTGAATTGGTCAGCAACATGTTGTCGGATATTTCCGAGTCCTCCATAACGTTTGACCTTTGGAAAACTGTACACATGGTCCCCGTTGCACCACGAGTTAATATTAATTGATTGTTATTATTCATATTTTCATTCATATTACTATTGATTATTATTATTGGTTATTAAGATTACAACAATTCGACTATACATGGAATACGTTTTGTGTAACAGTTGTGTTAATATTGTTTAAGGACAATCGTGTTGTACGTAAACACCGAGAACTGCAGACGATTCGAAAACTTTAGTCACGTCACTTTAACGGTGCGGAGTTTTCAAAAACCCAATCTGAGTATTCGCGAATCGTGGCGATTCCGTTCAAATCAAGTATTATTATTCGTGTTGTCGCATACCTTTCAGGTTATTTTAGTGCTGACTAACAACGTTTAATTACTTTTATTAATATGTTAAACTAGTACGTCACAAGCGTATTACATATTTGTAATGTGTATTTAGCTTGTACAAATGATAAATTTTTTCAACCGTGCTACTGGTTAACCACTGAGAAATAATAAGAACATTTATTGAAAATATTTGATAAACGATAATTATACCACGAATTGGTAGTTTTATTAGCTAATGGTGTTTGAAGATTATAAAAATAATACGAACTGTGAGGAATGATTACTTAAAATTGTTTTAAAATATTAAATTGGTTTTTTTTACAATAAAATAATACGATTAAATAAAGATTAGAATATTTTACTGATAATCTTTCACGTAATATACATGACATGTTTAAATTGAGAGTTTCAAAATATTTCATAAATAATTACAATTTATGGCTCCCGGTGAAAAAATTATAATGAAATATAAAAAACTCAAAATGTTGAATGAAATATTATTGAACAGATTGATTCAAATACTTGAATGTTATCAAAAAACGTATAATGTGCGTGTTCATATATTTTAATATTAATTTATTGTACTGAAAAATTTTTTCGGTTTTTGGTATTATGAACTAATTTATTTATTTTAACTAATTTTGAATAGTATTTAAATATTATAAAATCAAAATATTCGAAACCAATTTAAATAAATTATGTGTACGTTTTACGATTAACTAACAATATAAAATTGGTTACCTTCCCAGTGATTTCGAGTTTATAAAATAATTTTATTATTATTATTATAATTAAAGCAATTATATTATTAACTCTGAATTTCAAAACGATACATTTTGATTTACCCATTATTATTATATTAATTTAAAATATTATGCTATATTATGAGTGATTTCCATGCATAGAGGACGTACGGTGGTAAAGTTACTAGTATTATGCATCGTTTTTACAGGAACGAATTCTCCACGCATAAACACTTATTTTAATCGGAAAAGGAATATTTATCACTGTATTTGTAATTGAAAAAATGTATACTAATATAAATTATAAGTCACTTACGTGAAGGTTCGTAGTCGTTTACGAAGCCATTGGTTATTATGGTTGCTCCGGATTTCTAGAAAAAAAAAATAAAAACAAAATCTTAACATGGAATAACAATCATTGAAACCAAATCGATGGTGTACGAAATCGTGAGATTGAAAAAAAAAAAAATCAAAAAACAAACACTTACATCGAATACTTGATGAGCTGTGAAGGAACCTGGCCACCAAAGCATCGATCTTTCGGCAGAATCGGATTTTTCACCGGCGTCGTACGTTCTCAGTTCATCCAAAACGTTTTTCTGTAGGTACACGCAAAACAATTACAATGGTGATTAATTAAGATTATACGTTTCAGCTGGACACAATGTGAACTACGATAGACTTACGTGCGTTATGTCGTTTCCGGTTTTCAGCAATAGAACACTTTGATCGATGCCGGTAATGCCGATGTACGAATTGGGTTTTGCCTCGAAGCTGATGTCTATCGGCGTATCGGGTTCGGCTTCGTCACGACTGACGTCCATTTTAATCTGAAAACGAAAACGTTGCGGACGCGATTAGTGCGAATATTCGGCATTCCATGTTTTGGCCACATAATAATAATTATACTATGAAACGTATTATTTATTATACAATGTGCAATGTAATACGGGTAATAATATCGCGGCGCGCGCCGAAACGGACCACATGACGCAGGATCGGACCGAAGGGAGAAATGAAAAGCAGATAACGTAATATTAATTCTTAAAATGTACCAAATCATTAAGAGCTCGCTGACTATCAACTTCCGACGATATTTAACGGTAGAGATTGTCATTCACTTATATTGATCCCAAAACAACCGATTAGTTGAATATCAACGTTTTCAATTCCTCGACGGACGGTTGTTCTGCATAAAATTTATCAAGAACGATTGAATCGTAATGTTTTAGCATTCGTCTACGGTCGACACGAACTTATATTCTTAACATTTTCATCGGTGAACGGGGGGGCCACGAAAAAATATAGAACAGCTAGTGCCCGGGCAGAAATCCCTGTCCTGCACCTGCTGTGGCTAGGCCACCCTGTACATCCGCTCGGAGTGGTGGTGCGTGACACGTTTGCGGCGGGAGAGGGCGGTGGTTCCTTACATAGTTCTGCAGCACTCCGTCGAGCTCGATGTCGACCACGTCGGCTATCACTTCGCCGCCGTCCTTGATGAACTGCACGATCACCCTGGCCGTGGGCGCCATCGCGTACGTGGCCAAGAACCGGACGATGGCCGTCCGCTGCCCGGCGTTCGGGATCTGAACGGTGCTGGCCACGATCACGTCACCTCGGCCGATCACCTGGTAGCTGATGTACTGCAAGCTCTCCGTCGAGTTCACCTGTATCTCAACGTCCCTGTTCACCTGGAAATAATATCGCATTTCAGACGGCGAGTCGAATTCGCGCCCTTTGGACATCCGTCGTTTCCACAACGAAAACACTTACCGTAGGGTTTTCCGTCAACACGGTGGCCTGCACGTAGGTGTTGCTCGGCGAATGCGCGGCACCGATGGACGGGAACCATTCGGTAAGATCCATGTACTTCATCTGAAATCGCATACACGTGTTTTTTTTAAATTTTTATTTCACAGTTTTCGATTTAAACAAAACAAAATAATATATATGTTTATCGCTAATATCTTTTCACTCGATCATGTTTTCACAATATCGCGTTTGACATCGGTGTCGTGCTTACCTCGAAGCCAAGCGATACGGCGTCGGACGGTGGATAGTAAACCAACGGGATCAAACCGTTGTTGGGTAACATGTATTTGTTTTCCTTGTAATCGACTTCCTCGTTCGAGTATCCATGTCGCACTATAACCGGATTTTTCTGATCGTGTACCGGCGTACCGTCGTGATGACTTACTTTGATCTACAAAAATGGGCATATCGTCAACGTAGAGAATCAATCATTACGTTGTTATTGTTTACTCACGAAAGCTGTGTACTTGAGTCCGGGCTTAAAGAAATCCGATGTTTTGATCAACTCCATTTTATATTCGTGTTTGTGCATCATTACGGATACCGACGTGTTCTGGGATCTGCCGGTATGTTCCTCTTCGACGGTGACGTCGAATTTAATTTCTCTGTCGTAATCGTTCTCCAACCTGTTGCGAAAAAAATATGATACAACATGCCACTAGTTATCTGTCTCAAAAACTCAATACCTATATTTGAGACTTACTTTAAATACTTGACAACATCGAAGTTCACAACTACTTCTCCGTTAATCGGCACAACTTTTCGTAACGGGTTTTCGTATATGGGCTGGACGCTTCCACTAAAGTATACCGGGTACACAGAAATGGTGGCTTTACCGCTGACATTTTTACCATACGTGTATCTAAATAAAATAAAAAAAATTAAAAAAATATTGTACACCGGTATTCGCTGCTGGCAAAACGAAACGATAGAGCGTCGAAGTCAACACTAACTTGGAATAAATGGTCGCTTGTATTTCGGACTTTTTGAACGTAGAGTGTTTGGGCACGTCAATGGTCACTTCGAACTTCGGTAGAACGTACTCAGCAACGGTGAACGTCTTGTGGAAAACTTGGTCCAGTACAGTGACGGCAATGTTCCAGTCGCCGAGCACCGGTGACTCGGATAATTGGAATTCGGACGTGAAGACTCCTCGGGTGGTCAGCGCTCTGTTCCAATGTTTCACGCGATTGCCTTTGCCGTCCTACAAATCAAATCGATATTCGTTCATAGTCGGTTGTTCGATCCGAAAATAATTGGTCATTGTGGGCCGATGATGACTCACCGTAATGTAAATATCCAAAGCTCCCGTAACGGATGGTTTCAAATGAGAGTTTAGCACGATGGCTCTGAATTGCACTTTGTGTCCCGGTTTGTAAATGGCTTTGTCGGTTTGAATGAACACCGAATAACTCTTGTGGATGTACTCGAGTGCTGTAGAGTTGAAAAACTCCAAGCCGCCCGAACCTCGAGCGCTTAAATTGTAATTACCAGGACCGACGTCGCCAATCTAATGAGAGAAAACAAAAAAAAAACAAAAAAATTCAAATCTATTCGTAAAATGTAGGAAAAAATTAATAAAAAAACTTTACTTCGAGCCTTATTATTCTAGTCGAATACGAGTCAACTTTGACGAATTGCGTAACTTTCAGAATGCCTCCGCTGTCTTGTTTGCCGCCAACGTCCACAACTACTGTTGTTGGCGATGTGGTCCCGTGCGTACTCACTGCAACATGATATTCTGAATTCGGCCGCAATACTTTTGGGGCCACAATGGTATAAAATCTAAAAACGAATAAAAAAACATCAATGGTTATTCGCTTTTGTACGTATATACAAAAAATAATGCTTAATAATGTGAGTAGTGAATGATGGTTTTCAAAAATGTAATTTTGAAAACTAAAATAAATATTTAACGTAACCGGTGAAAATACCTGTATACCGATTGGGGTTATGCAATTAAAGGATTCTCATTGGGTTCGTAATGTTATAAATGGGATACGTTCAACAAATTACTATAAGTTATCTTTGTCGGTAATGATATACGGTTTCGAGTCATTTAAACAAATAACCTGCTCCTACATACAGTTCCGAGACTTGTGGTTTACGCTCGGTACACACTTATAATAATAATAATCATTATGAAAGAATGTCTTTCGATTATTCAAATACACACAATTCAAATATTGTGTGTTTACCTATCCCAAAACAGTATATTCATTGGAACCATGTTATAGAATAAAACGTACATTTACAAACTGAGACAAATAAAAATTGTATACAGCTGAACGCTAATCAGCTTTACAGCACTAATTAACTGTATGTACACGTAAAAACCAACGGAAACGCAATGGCCACGACATGAATATAATATCCGAACTTCGTACATCTACATCGCCTAACCATTATCGTTGTATTTGTATAAAACAGAAAAAAAATTAACAAACGCGGTTACTACATTCATCCCTTTCATGTCTCCGAACTATGTGCTATCGCCTATACATTTGTTCGGTATTAAATTCCATAAATATGCATAACACAATATGACAGTATTGTGAATTATAAAATTATGGGTAGTGCGATGTGGGCACAATGCTTAAACGGAGATCGGTGAATATGCACGTACGTGTGCTTTCGCAAATGTCACTTATATAACCTGCAGTTCAGATGTAAGTCTTGTCTATAAATACCATTTCGCCACCACCTAAGTTAAGACAAATTAAATTTGTATTCGGCTTTGTCTGAAACAACACGTGCTAATAATGATGCTCTAACGGTGTTTTACGAAAAACTTTTGGAAATAAAACGATTTCGAGGCTTTCATTTCTGACAATAATACAAAACATTCGAGCGTATATCACAAGTCGATCAACGTTCGAACGAATATCTATTACAGTTATTTTCAACTGTATAATAATTATTATTATGGAAGTTCGGTTAAATTTCTATCTGAAAAACCGTTATATTTGTGTAGTGTGTTCTAAACTAAAAAACGGTACATTATACGAAGTGTATTCACGTTGGATTTATTTTTCCTATTTATTTCACCACTGACTGACTAATTTATAGCTGCCCTGAACCTTATTCAACAATAAAAGCGAATACTTATAGCGATAATACTACACCGTAGTATTTGTATGCACATATTTTATACTAAACTTACGGAGTATACGTGATAATTATAACATTGATTCGATTACTTGTCTGTCAATATGTCGTCCAACGACATAGATCGTGTACAGGACTACTCACGTGTTCGTTCTGTGATACCGTTTTTGCGATACACGTGCGTCGCATAGTATTTTATCCCTTGTAACTAGGTGTACATCACAATTTGCAGCGATCGAAACCGTTTAGATCTTCGGGCGTGCCCGTTGAACGTTTTACCAAAAAATATACAATCATTATAGTTTGTAGTTGAAATTCACTGTATCATTATATTGGAGGGGTAGTGATTGCCACCAATGCATGTACGAAATAACTTTTTTTACATCTACCGTTTTAAAATATGACCGATAAATTGTTTATTAAACATTACACACTGAAACGGTTCTAAATGGTTGAACGGTTGGGGGGTTGAACGTATTACAAGATCGATTACATTTAATTAGTGAAAAGCTCTTGAGCATGATTATTCGAAGGCCGTGGATTACATCGATAAAACAATAAACGTCAACGGAAAATATAAACAAAACGAATATTTCGACGGTCATTGTTTCGGAAAGAAATACATTATAACTAATGTAAAATAATTCTGTAGTCGGGCAACCACAGACATTTTTTTAAGATTCTCAACATTTTGAAAACAAAACTAGTTGTTCGATGATTAATCTATCATACAAAACGATTACCATTCAAGTGTGTATGTACGAGTTTGTATAATCACCAGGAACATAGTATTAAAAAAAAAAAAAAAAATATACGTGTCCTTATTTTAACTGACACTATATTCTTGCACTGTTTGAAGTTTTAAAAATAATAATAACACGGCTACTCGGCAATAGAGTTTCTCATTTATCACGTTTCTCACGATCCGTAGTCGAAAATTTTCGGAACAAGTTTAATCCCCGTTTGCATATATCCCGTTCGGTCATCATGATGACATTTGGACGGGTCGCGGCGGCCCGTAGGTACAACATTACGCGAACGGGTGTCCGTGCACAAGGCACACACGTGTTTACGTTTCGGAGAAGGAACGAAATACAATTTTATTTTGTACTTTACAGCGCGGAAACGCTGACAAGTGAATAAATTAGGCATGCAGGGACGATGTCGGACCGAGGGAATATTATTGCTGCACGCCCCGTAACGTCCGGTAATGAATATTTTTATACCGTACTCGGGACAATATTGTTCGGCAGTAAATGGACGGATGGTCATTATGGTAAGCGCGGATACACAAAAAATGTATGTATTCTAAAACCGTTGTCCACCATTTTCAGTCTCGACGGTCGCAGTCTCTCGTAATGTTAGCGAAATTTCGCCCAGAAGAATAAATGCTAACGAATCGTTTTCCTCTGACAGCTTCAACGTTCAATACTTCCGAAGTAGGATTTATCGCTGTATCAGTTTGTACAAGTCGCTGCGGTATTCGTTTCGTACAAACAGTCGAGTGGTAATATTTGAAAACTAGCGTAATATATCGCCGTACTCCGTTTAAACGTAGTCGGACGCCACGAAAACGTAATTTTTTCACGAGACATTACGTAGTGAAAAACGGAAAACGAAACCGCGAACTCTATACAAACGTGCCTGCTGCGGTGGTATGTTTTTCGTCGACCAACATCGACGCCAACGGTTTAAATCAAAAGTTTTCCGTATTCGGACGGGTACGGTACGAATATCGTAGCAACGACATACTAACATATTTTATGTTTTCATCACATATTTGATTACACTGTAATGTTTCCAAACGAATGGAAATAAGTGTGTGTGTGCGCGCGCGCGTGAAAATAGAAAACAAGTTTTGTTGTTGTTCGGATCGCGTTCGAAATGTTTTTTGCATATCTTAAAGACTTAGAACGGTTGTTCATAACCAGTTGTTGTACGCAATTTCGGAGCGCTACTCCACCATTCATCAAGACGTATCGAATACCGTGCAAGGTTATCGTCGTCGCCAACAACGCGTCTGTGTAAAGAACCGACTACTACTATGGTGTAATACGCACACACACGCACACCACGCATTGTGTTATGAGCACATTGTTTTCCGATCGAACCGATAGATAAGTGTTTGGCAATGTTGTTGTTGTCACATCGTGTGAAAAAAAAATAAAAATAAATTTATTTGCGCGAAGAGAAATGATGATAATCGAAGTGTCACGCGAGGAGGTGATGTTTATTATTATTATGAATATTATTGTTGTTATTATAACGTTGTGTACCGTTGCATGTACGTACGACAATACAGTGGATTGCATGATGTATCGCCGTCAACGCTTTGTAACGTTTACAAAATCTTCGAGTGGGCATCATCATGCCGCGGCGCTTATCCATATTTGTATTTCGAATATCTACGCCCTTGTCGTGAAACCTACTTACCTATCTAATACAACTCGTTGGTTCATCTCCGCTGCGCCTCCAAATCGAATGATGCAGTGCCTAGACGAGAATAAACATTTCTACCAACGGACAATTTTCAGAAGGCCGAACAAGTCGAGTCACACACGCGTCATAATATTATTACTATAATTTCCGAATTCCTAGACCTCAATACGTATTTTGAATTCACATGCAATTAGCATACAAATCGAATTGAAATGTTCATTTATAATAATGTCGTTATTTTTTTTTTATTTTTTTTTTATTCGAACAACAACAAAAAAAAACAACAGCATTCAATTATAATACGACTAAATAAAATCTAGTCATCGAAAATTTAGAGATATATAATAATTAAGGTTAGGATTTCAGTGCTCTAAAAAAAAAATTCAAAAATGCTTTAAAAATACAAATAAAGTTAAATTTTTCAATAAATATAAAAATAATAATTATAATAAATACAAAAATATGCAAAATAAAAACTACATTAAATTAATCAGTTATTCAAAACACGTTTTCTGTTTACGGACCTACGTGTTGAAACATGAATAAAAAGAAAAATGCATTTGCATCGAAATCCCAACCCTAATAGTAATATATCGACTGTAAACAATTTATTATACTATCATCAGATACGATTCGTATTTGAACGAATAATAATAATTGAAATGTTGCAATTTTTATTTGTTAACGTGATATATTTTTATTTTTATTTGAGCATAATTTAAAAAAGGTTGTAAAGCTCAACAAATAAAACAGAATACACTGAATTTTGATCGAGACTAATATACTTTATATTTATAAAAAAGAATTATTTATTCACTGTAACAATCTAATTATTGGTGTTCGAAACGGAGTAAACACAATTTCGATTATAATATACGGGTAACATGTATTACTCATATTATTAATAAATGTAGTGTTGTTGTGCTAAACATACATGACGAGTATGAATAAATCTACCAATAATATTTCGCAAGTGGATCAGTAACATGACACACACCGTTCATGTTAATATTTTATGAAGGTTTCTATAAATTTTGTTTCATTATTACTGTTTTGGCAATAGTTTAGGGGAGCTGAGCGTATGGACGATTAATATTAAATATATTACACCCAAGCAACGATCGGTGTATAAAATAATAGCACCAACAACAAATCATTTTGTGTATAGGTCCGATGAAAAATCGTTAATTAGAAATTTCAAATACATACGCATGTAATCGGTTTGATTAAAAACGTTC